TGGCTGCACCCTTGGTCACTTTAAATATCCCAAATGGCTGCTGCTTATAAGCATTCAAAATGGCTGCACCCTTGATCATTTTAATTATCCAGAATGGCTGCCACATGTAAACAATCAAAATGACTGCACCCTCCGGGCAGCAGAAAGTCAGCAGCTCAAGTTCTCTCCCTCTTTGCTGTTTCCCTTCCTAGTCTAAGGTCACCGGTGCAGTCATCCCTGCAGCCCTTACTGACCAGTGCTGATCTTTAGGTCAATTCTCAGGTCCCACTTGGAAATACTTAGGCTGTTGGCCCCATCAGAGTAGCTGACAGTCTGCAGCTCCAACCATATCTGTACTCACTGTTTTATCTCAGGTTTTTCCACTAGTTGGTGCCTAATCCACTTCTGTATACTTCCTTCCAAAGCTCAGGGCTCCAGGATTATCTTCTGTATCTCTGTCAATTGATTTTTCTTTTCTTTGTTGAAGATGGTCTGTGTCACTTGTCTGTCTATTCCTCCATCTTACCAGAAGTCCCTGAATCATAACAAATTATGAATAACATTACAAAGAATGGGAATTCTGAAATGTTTAATTGAGTTCATGCAGAATCTGTACATAGACCAAGAGGCAGTTATTTAAACAGAACAAGGGGATACTGCATGGTTTAAAATCAAGAAAGTAGTGTATCAGGATTTTATTTTTTCACCATACGTACTCAGTCTGTATGCTGAGCAGATAATCCAAAACACTGGACCATATGAATAATAAAGCATCAGGATTGGAAGAAGACTAATTAATAGGTTTTGCTATGCAGATGACACATATTGCTTGCTGGAAAACAAAGAGGACTTGAAACATTTACTGATGACGATCAAAGACTATAGCCTTCAGTATGGATTACAACTTAACATAAAGAAAATGAAACTCTTCACAACTGAACCAGTAAGCAACATCATGATAAACAGAGAAAAGATTGAAGTTGTCAAGGATTTAATTTTAATTGGATCCACAATCAAAAGATGCATTTCATTGGGCAAATCTGCTGCCAAAGACCTTTTTAAAGTGTTAAAAAACAAAGATTTCACCTTGAGGACTAAGGTGCACCTGACCCAAGCCATGATATTTTCAGTTGCCTCATATGCATATGAAAACTGGACAATGAGTAACTGAAGAATTGATACATTTGAATTATGGTGTTGATGAAGAATATTAAATATACCATAGACTTCCAGAAGAATGAACAAGTCTTGGAAGAATTATAGCCAAAATACTCCTTAGAAGCAAGGATAGTGAGACTTTTTCTCATGTACTTTGGACATGTTGTCAGGAGGGACTATTCTCTGGAGAAGGACATTGTGCTTGGTTAAGCAGAGCAAATAAGAGGAAGATGGATTGTCACAGTGGTTGCAACAGTGGGCTTAATCAGTGCAGTGATTCTCAGAGTGGTGCAGGACCAAGAAATAATTTGTTCTGTTGTACTAGAGTCGCTGTGAATCACAACCAACCTGAGAGCACCTAAGAACAACAAAAGGAAGTACTAGAATCTGACCTACCTGAGGCCTACTACTGTATCACTTTGGTCTCTCTATCTTCACCACCTCCTCCATGACCCCATGATGAGATACTCACCAGATATCAATAACAACAGAGAAGGCTAGTTGAAAGAGGAAGGCAGGTATGGCCTGAGGACCCCAAAAGGTGCATGGTGAGCTCCAGAGTGAAGTGGCCACATCCCAGGGGCCAAAGCCCAGTTCCTGCACACTTAAGACAGGAACAAAGCAGCCCTTGCTCAGGACTACATCAGAGAGATACAATGTGATGTCATCCCTGGAGTTATAATGATTTTATTACAATGTTCTAAGGAAGAAAACTCCAGACTGAGAGCCATCTCTCTAAGAGAATGTACTGAAAATGGGCAGATTGTGCAGGGTGTCAGATGAATGAATAAGGGACAGATGAATGAACAGGTGACAGGTGGACAAGTGGAGGACAGATGTATGACCAGGGGGACATGGATGACCAGTTGACCAGCAGGAAGACAAGTGGATGAGCAAGGGGTATGGATATGAGAGGGAGAAAAGTGGAAAATAGTGTGCCAGGCAAGGTCCTGCACAGCCTCCTGCATACACCTGCCTTTTTGTGAGCTTTCTGTCAAAAGGGGTCACCCCTGTGTGGAGTGTAAACTATTTTGGAGTATTTCTTGTTTGTCTTGTAGATTCTCCATCCATAGACCCATGAGGAAGGTTTTAGACACAGCACTGTGATGACACCTTTGGGGTTGTATGTATTATCTACTTGGTTTATTAGTACTTATGCAGGACCCCTCAGGCCAGGTGTGTCTATTCTGTGATTTGCCTGAGTTAAAAAAAAAATATATATATATATATATATATATATCTGGTCATTTAGTGCCATGGAGCCACATCTCTGCAGTTAAGATGTGGTTTCTTTATGCTTCCAAATAAAAATTTGTCAAAGTTCTGAAACCAAGTCCTGCTTCTTGAGGATCTTAGTGGATCTAAAGCAGTTTCCACCGAAGATAACAGCACCTTTCCTGACTTAGTGTCCTGGAGCAATTCACTGGTTGGTTGGAAAAACACTCTTGCTATAGCTTCCTCTCTTGCCACAAAAAAACAAGCCATCAGAATCCTTGGAAGTAAGATGCCTTGTCTTTGGATGAGAAGCCATTGAGGCAACATGGACTCTGTTTAGAACCAGACTGTACAGCACAGAGCCTGGGACTAGAATCCAGGCAGCATGGGTCTGAGACTCATGCTTAGCTGTTACCTGGCCAGTTCTGTGATTGGACAAGTGTTTTAACAGAAAGCCTTAGAGCATTAGCGTTCTCCTTTGTAAAATAGAAATATAATAAAAATTGTAATAACATCATTTTCCAGAGTGGCTGTGAGAATCAAATGAGTTCAGTATATAAAGCACTTTGTAAAGTAAAAAGAATAAAAACTGAACAAATAAACACAGATCTGTTGTTCCATGTGCAAAGATATCAGCCTACAGTGTTTTGAGGAGATGTCTTCAATGCAAAGCTCATCAAGCACACGCTCTAGTGGAGGATGAGGAGGACTGAGCAAGCCTGGAGTCTTCTTTTCTGTCCTCCCTCTCTCTGAGTGGGGTCTTGGATCTAGGGATTTGATCCATGCCAGATGCCTTCTTTTTCCCAGCTTTACCAGCTCCCTCTTACCTTCCATAGCATCTCAGCAGAGGTGATTGCTTTCAGTGTGTGAGGAATTCTGGGTCTGCATGTACTTTGTATAAGAAGAGGCACAGCTGTGGAGATTGCCAGTCTCTGCCTGGCAGCCCACCACACTTTGCACCCTTCATCAGTCCATGGTTTAACCTTCCAGCAGGCTATGAAAGATGTGTCTCATCTGGGCAGCTCTGGTCTTCAAAAACACTGTGAATCATGCTGTCAGTGTGCTGATCAGTGAGCCTTTTTGGGACACGTGTTAGTAGGACTTTCATTTCCCCTTACAACCTGAGAGACCATTTGAGAGAGGATGCCACAGAGAGGAAAAAAAAAAAAAAAAACAGAACTCTGGCAGCCCTGCAGTCAGAAAGCAGTGTCCAGCCATAGTAACACCCACACCAGATAGTGCTGACTCACCAGTCACAGATCAGGAGGGCCCAGCCTGGATGAAGGCCTTTGTGGTTGACCTTGGCCACTCATTGGCTTTCTGACCTAGTGGCCATCAGCCAGTACTTCCTCTCTGGGCTTTGTTTCCTCCTCAGGGAAGTGAGGTCCCAAGTTGAACTGATTTTTAGTGCTGTGGGGCATCTAGGGTGGGTGGGGTGCATTGCAGTGTGATCCACTGAGTCACAGACTCCCACTCCAGGGCCACCTGTAGAGCCCAGCAGAAGGTACCTGTTTTTTCTCAACTGACTAGGCAAAGACAGTCTTAGCAGGAAGCTCTCTGTGTGCTGATGAGAAAATCTTATTGGCAGTGTTATTGCATTCATTAGCAAAAGGAAGAACAGATGCTGTTATTGCTTGTGGGCTTCATAAGTGTAGCCTATTAAGATGCTTAGGAGCTCTGGTGGCGTAGTACCTAAGGTACTTGACTGCTAACCAGAAGGCTGGTGGTTCAAACCCAGCAGCCACTCCTTGGAAGGAAGATTGGGCATTCTACTTCCATAGAGATATTGCCTTGGAAACCCAAGGAGGGGTCGCTATGAGTCAGATCCAACTCGATGGCAGTGAGTTTTGAGTTTTATTAAGATGCTTATCTGTGAGGGAAACCTTGGCCATGGGGGCTGAGCCACGGCTGATGATGTAGGGATCCTCCAGTATGGGGAACTTTCAGTGTGGGGACCCTCCAGTGTGGGGATTCTTCAGTGTGGAAACCTCCCAGTATGGGGTCCCTAGTATGAGGGCACCTTTAGTGTGAGGGACTGGTACCTCCCTAGCAGTCAGGACCTGCATGTGGTTTATCCCTGCAGTTACCAGGATCTCAGGATGGTGTCCCGACCAAAGTGCCATACCAGTGTGGGCATGTTCTGAGCATCTCCCAGTTACTGCCACCCTCTAGAAAATGTTAGAGAGTATAGACATAATGAACCTCTTTGGGGAAAAATGCTGTTTCTTTTCTAGAAAATTGGATCTTTGGTGAAGATGACTGCATCTTTGTATAAAAAAAGTGTATCAAGACAAGGACCCTGAGGAAAGAAAATTCACAGTGGCAGAGCCAAGCAGTGTGGGGACCCTCTGATGAGGAAAAAGCGCCTTCTGTGTATGGGCATCAGGAGGTGGAAGAGGGTTTCTACAAGCCTGGCCATTAGTACCCTGGATGCACCAGCTGGCCTTCTGAGGGAGGGTAGTCAGTGGGTAGTAAGTGATGGCATTGCTGGGCAACAACAGCTAACCATAATAACAACAATAACAATTTGTAGGCAATAACAATGTCAATCGTAGTAACAGGACCAACAGCAGCCTTTCCAGTAATGTGGTGCATCGGCAGAGTGATTCCTTCATTAATCCCCCACTCACCCTTTTTCTCTGTTGCAGAGTGACTATTCAAGTGACACAGAGAGCGAGGACAACTTCCTCATGATGCCTCCCAGGGACCACCTGGGCCTCAGTGTCTTCTCCATGCTCTGCTGCTTCTGGCCCTTGGGTATCGCTGCCTTCTACTTATCACATGAGGTAGGGCCAGCCCCCATCCCACAGTATGGTGGGTTGGTGTGGGCATGCCACGCTGCAATGGAGATGATGATGAATGAAGTCCACTCAGCATCTGCAATGAGGGGAGGGATGTTTCAAACTCGTACATACATACAATAAGGAGTAGGTTGGGGCCCTAGGGATGCTTCTTATCTCTTCATGACTAGTAATTCTCCAACTGCCCTTTCTGAGGGGACCTTCCCTGGGGACATTGGGAGCCTGGTGGGGCAGTCTTAAGGAAGGGGCCTTCCCAGCAGAACTGAGCACCCATGTATGTTGTCCATAGCCTTCAGAAGCCAGACTTTCCCTTGGGCACCAGCATCACTGGTGGCCAAACACCGAGCCAGGAAACAGTGCCCAAGGCAGAGAGCCATCAGGAAGGTTAGATTCCATGGAAAAGGAGGCAAAATCAAGGATTGTTTTTCTCGTAAAATGCTCCTTTATATATGTTTTATTTGAATGCTCATGTATACTCATCCCAGATTAATTTTCTGCTAACAAAAATGGCATCTCTGTGCATAATCACATTGTTTTCTCCCAGTGTAAGGGCTTCCAGCCCTTTTTGCCTCTAGGCATTGCTTATTATCTTTTTCATGGAATCCAGACTTGATAGCTTTACTCTAGCAAATTTAAAGGTATTCTTTAGGAAATGAATGGTTTTCTTGTTCTTAATAATCAAAGAAAGGCATTTATAATTATCAATTAAAGCATACAATTACCAGTATCACCAAGCCCTGCAACCATTGTCCCAACGAGAAGAGACAATGATGTCCCACTCATTGACAGAGGATGGGATGGGTTTTTTAAGGGCTGTCAGTGAAGCATGGTGCTTAGACTGAACCTGGGGATGATAGACTAGGGTAAATCCCTTGTTTGACAAATTATTTTCTTGGTCTGAAAACAGACCCCTCATTAGTCAAGCAGAGGCCTCTTGTTGCTGCTTGCTGGTTTATTTGTATTTTATTTGACTAGGGAGAGGAGCCCTTGCCCCTGATTTAGGCACTCTTCTTGTCCCATGAGTATGACTTTTCTCTAGTGTGGGTGCTGGTCCCTCCCTCAACTGGCACATGAGGGCACCCTGTCCATGAAGTAGACACACCTCAGAGAGGATCTCAGAGCTCTGGGAAGCCCTGCCACTGGTCAGTGCATAGTGGGATGGAGGCTAGTCAGTGCGGTGTATTCCTGATTCCAGAGGATGGTGAGGATGTGGTGGAGGAAATTTCCTACTGCTGGGCTGGGGTGAGCAGTGTTTTATGTCCTATCATCAGCTTTGAGATTCTGTCCAAATTTCGAATTGGAAATTTGTGTCAAGAGTGCAAAACATCTCCTTCACTGTAAGCACCAGCACAGAACAGAAAGCCATACACTGAATCTGGCAGGGCATAGGTATTGGGCTAGGGTGGTGGACAGAATAGGTGAGCTCCACCCAACGGAGGAGCCCAGCACTGGGCCTGAGGTTCTGGAAGTGCACAGGTCCCTGGAGAGAGTTGCCAAGAGATGACCCACAGTACAGAGAGCATGTGCTGAGGAAGAACCACACTAGCCCACCTTGTGTAAACAGTGATCTAAGCCTGAGCTAAACAAAACAATTGCCATGGATTCACAATAACCTCATGTGTATCAGAGAATTTTCATGTGCTCATAAAATTTTCAGTGGCTGGTTTTTCTAAAGGAGATCACTTAGGCCTTTCTTCTGAGGCACCTCAGGATGGACTCCAGCCTTTTGGTTAGCAGGCAAGTGTGTTACCCATTTGTACCATCCAGGGACTCCAAAGCCTGCAAATAGCCAATGGTCACGTTACTAAGGAAGAGAAGGTCCAGAACATGGAGAGGAAAGAAACTGCTTCCCACACACTAGGGGCAGTTGTGGAGTTTCCATGGGAACCCTTTTCTCCTGCTTCCTTGTCCACCCACATCTCCCTGTGGGTGAGGCTAAGAAAAGTCATACCCTCTCTGGGCAACATAAGAGTGCCAACATCAGAGTGCCAACATCAGAGCCATATTTTTGATTATCAGATTTTAGCATTGGACTGGCATTTTTACCTTGGATTCTCCTGGAGAAGTGTTACCTGTTCCAAAAGCTGATAGCAGCAGGAAGTGAGCCCTGGACACAGGGCAGGAAGGGTGAAGAATATAGCTCTGTGTAGAGAGGTGGTTCTTGGCCAGCAGAATACTGACAGCACAGGCTTCTTCCATGGCCTCTGCAACTCCACCCGGCAGATGAAGCCCTGTATCTGGAGCCATACATGCTGTTAACAGTGTCGTTGTCAAAAGAGGTATTTATAATAAAAACCAATACTGTAATGCCCAGAGACTGGTGGTCTAGATTCTCTCTCAGAAAGCAGTTTTATTCTTAACATCATAAGAGCTGTTCAGACTTTGGTTTAATGCCTTCAGTGGTAAAGAGGACTTTGGTGATTTGTTTAACACAATTACAAAATGCCATTTCTGTCAAGGCCTCTGGTCACATTTTTCAGAGGCATCTGCTCTGCAGTTGGATCTGGCCTTGCCATTGGGAAGACCTCTGCATAGGCTTCCTCCACACTCTGGCATTGAGCCCATCTAGGCATTTGATGCTGGCTTCCACCGCACTATGTGATCTCTCTCTTGGTTCTCTCTTTTGCTGCCAAGATAACCAGGCCAGGACTGTTTGTGGGCATCTGTGGCTCCTGCCATGCTGTCCAAGGTGGATGAGTGAGACATGCAACCCCTGAATGAGACACACTTAGTACCCTCTGCCCTCCATAGACAATGTTACAGCTTCTTCAGCTCCACGAGTAGGTATTCAGTGGGACCTACCTTCACTGGCAATCATCCTGGATGAAGGTGCTCAGCTCTCTCTCCCACCACAGCCAACTCTGTCTATGGGCCATCAAAGCCACCACAGTCTACTCCTGGTCTTGTGGTTCTCACCAGTCAAACTGCTGCCACCGTTTCTCTGATGCTTGGCTCTGCTGTGCTTGTGCAATTTATCTCAATCTCATGCATGTTCAGTGTTATAGCACTCTCTTCTGGGCCTAGGAACTTTTCCATGCAGAGACTCCGTGTCTAAAGGATCTACTGTGCTGTAGAGTCACCTTAACAGTAGTGAGATTCCCCCTGAACATCTGTAGGATTAGCCCTGATATAAACCTAGCTGGATGGCAAAACAGAACAGTCCTCCAGCTGGTCCTCAAGGAACTCAATCTTACTAGATTTTCAAGCCATTATTTGCATAATAGTCGACAAATCACTTGCAATATTGCACCCCACTGCGGTGTAGTAAATTACATAGTGTGGCTTTTCTAGCCATAAGTCTTTGTAAACTCCATGGGTGAATTTGCTGTGAGTAACTCAGTGCTCCTGATTGTTAAAGTTATCTACTTGGTGTATTTCTGTTGGGAGCAGCCAGAAGCAATTTTCCGGGAAGGTCAGTCTCTCTCAGGTGTGTAGAACTCTTTTCTTGGGATTGGTTGGTTTGGGCCACTCTGCCAGGCTCAAAAGGAGCCCTCCTAGAGGCAGAAGAAATCTCTCACTGCCAGTTGGGAGAAGTATTAGACACACATTGCTGAGAGAGAGATGTGAGAGACACATGCTACTGAGAGACTGAGAGGTACACACTACTGTGAGAGAGACACCCAGACACATGCACTGCTGGGAGAGAGGCTGAGAGAGGCTGTCGACTGAGAGACAGTGGGCTGAGAGAGACTGAGCATGTTCCTGAACTTGAATTGTAGCCTGTTGCTTCCCTAATAAACCCCATAATCTGTGAGTTCTATGTGGCCCCTGCAGTGAATTATCAAACCCAGCAGAGAGGTGGTGGGTGCTGCAGGGGGAATGGTTGGTGTGAGGACTGATGAAAGGGCTGGAGGGAGGCAGCATGTCTGGCCTTGCATGGGTAGGCCTTCCTTGGGCTACTGATGATGATTCTGCCTTCCTCTTGTGGGATTACAGGAGCTCAGAAGATGTGGCCTCTCTGCCCCTTGGGGACCCACCCACTCATTTTAGAAGAGTTACAAGGCCATGGCTAGAAAGGCCATATAAAAGTGATTCATTGCACCAATGTGCCTGCCACAGGATTGTCCCCATTGCTCCCCATAAAAACCCCATAATAAGATCCGGCCTGCACCACACAGCCTCCTCTCTGCAGGCCTCAGCTTTGGCCTTTCTGGGCTTTGCTGTAGACCTGAGCAGTGCCGGTCCCTTGTACTCCACAGTTCTATCCAGGTGTTCAGCTGTTGCACATTTGGTTTATGCCTGTGCAGCCTTACCTGAGGACTCCAGACTCTGAAGGCCATTTAATGGCAGCCACAAGAGGAAAACATTTGATATGGTGGCCAGTGCAGCAGCTTGCTCTGAGAGATATCTCAGTGGATGTGATCCTCAGCCTAGCTGGAATCTCTAACACCTTTGGAACTAGAGGGATTCTGGTTGCTCAGGACCTTTTCGAGTTGTCTAGTGCCTCCTGCTGCCCTGCATTGTTGGGGTGCGGTGATGCCAAGTTAGAGAAAAAAGTATATCAATTAAGCCAAGACTGTATCCCTTAATTTCTAAATGCTATTCCCAAGGACATTTTGACATCTAAATGTGACTCTTCAATGTTTTTCTTTTATAGCAGATCCCATCTCAATGTAGTCCTGACAATTAAGCTGTGCCTGCACATTGTCAAAATAGCTACACAGTATAAAGCCAAGGGAATAGATGATATCTTTCCTGGGGGGGTGGGAAACCTTGGTGACTGGGTTAATCACCATGACCTTTAAGCTTATACCTGAAACCCAGGGTAGTCTTTCTTCAGTCATGATCTAGCTGCCATCAGCTGTGTATCAGGTTGTCATACTGTGGTTGCTTGCATGTGGCTGTGATATTGGAAGCTATGTCACTGGTATTTCAAATACTAGTAGGGTCATCATTGTAGAAAGGTTTCAGCAGAACTTTCAGACTAAGACAGAAAAAAAGGCCTGGTGATCTGTCTCTGAAAATGAGCCAATGAAAACATTATG